TACTGTTTGTTCCATACTTCAAGAGGTAAAATATAGTCAAAATAAAAATTACAAAATTAATAAATGTTCATTTTGAGAACTTGAAAAATGTGGGAAAATACAAACAAGTAAAAAAAATCTCTCATTTTAAAAATCCACATATAACTATGATATATATTTCCTGTGTTACTAATCTTATGTATCTATTGTTTAATTTCTCTAAATATAGACAAAAACAGAGAGAGGGAGGGAAAGAGAATAGGAAATCAAATAAACATACAAGTTTGATTTCCACCTTTTCTCTCTTAGTGAAAAATGCCTTATATATTCTGGATATTAATCCTTTATCAAATATATAGTTTGCAATTTTTTTCTCCTATTTTGTTGCCTCTTTATTGATTGTCTCCTTTGCTGTGTGTAAGTGTCTTAGCTTGATGTAATCCCATTTGTCTGTTTTTGCCTTTATTGCCTGTGCGCCAGGTATCTTATCCAAGAAGTCTGTGTCTAAATCTTGCAGTGTTTCTTCTTATGTTTTCCTCTGGTAATTTGATGACTTCAGGTCTTAGATTTAGATCCCTGATCTATTGTGAGTTGGCTTTTGTATAGTATGTAAGGTAAAGTTCTTGTTTCATACTTCTGCATGCTGAGTTCCAATTTTTCCAACACCATTTGTTGAAGAAGCTATCCTTGCTAAAGAAAGAAATTTTGCTGGCGAGGATGTGGGGAAAAAGGGACACTAACCCACTGTTGGTGGGAATGCAAACTGGTCAAGCCACTATGGAAGTCAGTCTGGAGATTCCTCAGAAACCTGAGATACCCTACCGTTCGACCCAGCCATCCCACTCCTTGGAATTTACCCAAAGGAATTTAAATTGGCAAATAAAAAAGAGGTCTGCACCCTAATGTTTATTGCAGCTCAATTCACAATAGCTAAGACCTGGAACCAACCTAAATGCCCATCAACGATAGACTGGATAAAGAAATTATGGGATATGTACTCTTTAGAATACTATACCGCAGTAAGAAACAACGAAATCCAGTCATTTGCAACAAAATGGAGGAATCTGGAACACATCATGCTGAGTGAAATAAGCCAGTCCCAAAGGGACAAATACCATATGTTCTCCCTGATCGGTGACGACTGACTGAACACCAAGAGGGAAACCTGTTGGAGTGAGGTGGACACTATGGGAAATGGTGGCTTGATCAGCATAGCCCTGACTGTTAATGAACAACTTAATACATTATCCCTCTTAGTAGTTTTTTTATCTGTTCTACTTAATATGACTGGTTTAGATCTGTAATTGATGCACAGTTATTCTTAAGTGTTGAAAATTAACTGAAATGTGATCCCTGTTGAACATGGTGGTGGGAATGGGAGAGGGAAGAGATGTATAATTTAGGACATGCTCAGGCTGACTTGCCCCAAGTGGTGGAGTTGGAAGCATACCAGGGGATTCCAATTCAATCCCATCGAGGTGGCATGTACCAATGCCATCTCACTGTTCCAGGTGATCAATTTCAGTTCACAGTTGGTCATGGTGAAGGGACTGGGAGTCAAAGGGAGCACTTAGACAAGTCTAGTACCTGCTAACGCTAACTGATGGAGTAAATAAAGGGGAGAGTGATCCAACATGGGAAGTGAGATACTCAGCAGACTCATAGAATGGCAGATGTCCTAAATAGCACTCTGGCCTCAGAATCAGCCCTAAAGGCATTCGGAGCTGGCTGAAAAGCTCATGAGAGTATTTCAGGCATGGAAAGCCAAGACACTCTGGCAAAAGATCTCTGCGAGTGAGATCCCAGTGGAAAGAACAGGTCTTCAAAGAAGGAGGTACCTTTCTCTGAAGGGAGGAGAGAACCTCCACTTTGACTATGACCTTGTCTAACACAAGAGTAAGAGTCGGAGAACTCAGAGGGCTTCCATAGCCTGGAA